AAGAGTTAACGAATTAACAATGAACAACTGTATTTTAATTAACTAAGGTTAACTATCGTGAACAAATACTATAATGAATGTATGGTTTATTGGTTTTCCGTGTTAGTAAATGCATTAACTAACATCAGCTAATACAACCTCATTGTAAAATGTTACCAATAAAAGTTATACATTGATTAATTCAACACTATATCTACAGAGACCAATTAAACATTTTATAAATGAAAAACTTTGTAAAAATAATACCCTTATAACCAGTTTTGGAGTGACGCATTACAAGTAACTCAAGTTACTTAATGTTAATTTTGTAAGTACCGTGTAAAGTAAAGCATTACTTTTAAAAAATAAGTAATAATAATTTAGTTACTTTTTAGTTTAATTAATTTGCTTTTAAAAAATAAATTGCTGAATTAAAATGAATGTAGTCACATTTGATCCCACACGTAATTTGAGAATGCAGGGACAGGCAGAAAGGATCAAGCATCAGCCAAGTCAGAAAGGTAACATAACGCATTACTTTCCATAAAAAGTTTTTAGTACCATTTAAAGTTATAGTTATTTTAGGCGGGAATAACTCAATTATGTAATGCATTACTTTTTAAAGCAACTTTCCCCAACACATCTTGTAACTATACCCAGACTTTTCCTAAATGTTGGTATATTGCATTCTAACATTCATTCATTTTCTTTTCGGCTTAATCTCTTTATTAATCCGGGGTCGTCACAACGGAATGAACTGCCAACTTATCCAGCACATAGCACATGTTGAACGCAGCGGATGCCCTTCCAGCTGCATCTCCATCTCTGGGAAACAACCATACACACTCATTCACACCCATACACTATGGATAATTTAGCCTACCCAATTTACCTGTACCGCATGTGTTTGGACCCGGAGGAAACCCACACGAACGCAGAGAGAACATGCAAACTCCACACAGAAATGCTAACTGACCCAGCCAAGGCTCGAAGCGACCTTACTGTGAGGCGACAGCACTACCTACTGCACCACTGCGTCGCCCTGCATACTAACATTGCGATTTTATAAAAAGTTACAAATCACAAAAGGGTTCAGGATAATTCTGTGTATTCTAAGTACTTCTATTGTAATACACAATTAATAAGTGAAAACCTCAGCAGATAATCTGACTCTGATCATTTTGCCGTCTTGCCTTGACCCCCGCCATTTATATTACCTTTGGGTTCACCTTTGCGCCACTTTATTGGAAGTACAGAAATTACTGGGGGGCGGAGTTAAAGATAGCACGTCCCCATCTGATTGGTCAAATTTAGATAAACAACCAATGAATAAAATAAATAAAATTTATTACATGTACAGTATGTGATATATATATTGCATATACTATCATCGCAATAACAATAGTTTAAGCATAAATTATGAAGCCTTAGTCAAAATATGACTATATCAGGTAGTCAAAATATGACTATATCAGGTAACGATCATTTTTATAGTGCTATTCGTGTGTAAAAAAGACGCATGAAAAACTTTTTTTGTTTACTTGCTTTATTCGCACGTCAAACTCATTCACAATAGACGCAGGTTCTCATCATGGGGAGTGGTGGGGGGGGGGGGGGCTTTTATCATGGTGATTTTAGTTTTATTGCTAAATGGCTAACATGGATTTTATTGAGAGAGTAGCTGTGCATTGTGTTTTAGGAAGGCTAATAAACAGCATAGATTCGTTTGGCGCCATGCACTAGATTCTTTTTGAGGTGCACCCAGCTCTGAGAATCATAAGAAACTGTACCTGGATGATGGAAGCTTTCAGCGGTGCTTCCAACTGAGCTGAGTTTATTTTGATGAGCTGTTGTCATATGTTGGCAGCATGATTTCCCCTCGGGACAGCAACAACAGGCGCTATATACACGTCATAATCACGCTCATACTACAGCAAGCTCCTGAAAGGTTACCACAGTACGAATGTACACTAAAGTTCAGATTTTCTAACTTGAGCTTGGGCTTGTTAAGTGCGTCAAACATGTAAAATGCTTAATTCGCACTGTTTCAGTTGCGTAAATCATGCCACAGGATGTCTGCGTCTTTGCATTGAGTAAATCACTCACGCTTGACGCTTCATCCACATACCATACTATATACTATACACTGGATGCTACTTAACTGCAGATGGGACTTTTAGAAATGCAAGTCTCAGAGAACAGAATCCCATGACTAAACGCGGTTAGCCGCAGTACTCAGGGAAATTCTCTGACTCAGGAAATGCATTACCATAAGGGCGCAGCCGAGATTCATTCTCAGTAGTGGCCAGTTCTGAAGGCAAACTCGATGCGGCGGGCGGCTACTTTTCCGTGGAAAGTGGAGGTGTTTCCTCATGTTTTGTTTATATTTGCTAAAATCTAATACAATGCTGTGCTTGTTTATTGCTTTCTGATAAGAGAAATAGTTTTTATTTTAGACACAGTAATGCCGACTCGCCACAGCCATGGCTCTAATATTACATTTTTGACTGTTGGCCATACAAAACTTTGCACAGAGCTCAGTTAAATGCTTTTTGGATTAGCCTAGTTATCAATAATCTGTTAAAACCTAAACAAATGGCAAAATGACTGAATATGTATGTCCATTTACAAGCAGATATGTAGTTCTATGAGAGTGAATGTTTTCCAGCGACATCTGGTGGTTAGATCTCCCTGGTGATCATGACAGTAATAGCCTAAATATACTGTAGGCTAAATAAATATAACATATTTTGAAATTAAATAAATAGGCTATTTTCTTTGGCTATGTCCATATATATATATATATATAATTAGCATCTTAATAGTTGCATCAGCACATGTTAGTGTGCTTTTCCCATATTTATCCAAACATATTAAAAGGATTTAGGGAAGTAAATATTTAAATAAATCTGAAAAAATGTAAAGTAATTGCCAAGTTTGTTAAGTTTGAGTTGTAAATAATTTCCTCAATCGAGCCAAAACATTTGTGGTTTTGTTTCCTGAAGAATGTCAAATAAAAATGTCAAAACAACACTGTTTGGATGACTGCCGATCACAACTTCTTGGAAAAAATGTTAACAATTAAAACACATTCATCCAAACATCACTAAGCAGAAGCTAGGGATGTATGTGTTTTGTGCAGGCTATAATGTTTTTTATTTCCCCTGAGACTTACAAACTACACGCTGAAACCATTGCAATTCAAGAGGTATTTAGAAACCAATCACAAAACCACACAACAAGAAGACGAGATTAGTTTCTCAGCTCTCTCTTTCAGCTTATAATCGAATCATGTGGCTCAGAAACAATATTTCATTTCACTCTTTTGTGCTTTACACCACAAAAAAAGCCAAGCATTATTTTAAATGCCAGGATTTAAATTTAAAGGCAAATCCTTCTTTATTAAAGTTTTTATCACAAACTCCCATCCAATAAATCATTTGGCACAAACATATCCTGCTGCTTTATCATTCAAATAAATCCTGGCCATTTTACAAGCATGACCCTTATGTTTTGTGTGTAAATGGCTCTTTATTTCAGTCCATTAGCAGCTTGCCCCTTTTTCAGGGTCGATGACAAGCTCAATATTGCAAACACAGCTGTGCAACATCAACCTTTTTACCATTATTTATTAGAGTAATTGTCCAGCAATAACAATAAAATGGACTGTTGTTTGTCACAGTCAATCACCATTATCAATGCACAAATGCTCATCTCCACTAGGGGTCACCACTGCATGTGTTAAGTCCTTGTAAAAGCTGTGAACATTACATCTGAAAAGCATCTCTTTGAATAACTTTCAAGCTAAAATCATCAACTGAGTCAGCAATAGGAGAACAGTACAGGAATATGGAAATATGAGCAAATGATAATGTCCATAAGTGTTTAGCTCTGGGAGATGAGGAGGATTTGATGTGCGTCTGACTTTTGTGACACGAGCTGTCAATTTTTCGTTTAAATTAGCTCTACTCTCTTAGTCCACAAATAAGGCCTCAAAAAATGACAGGCATTTTCATATAATCTGATTTCAAATGAGGTTAAAAGCCTAAATTAAATGCCAGTTGCAGCTCATTTCAGATATAAGAGTAGGGAAGACTTTAGAGTCTCTTCAGAAATCATTCTAATTTGCTGATCTTCAAATTTTGTATGTTTTAATATTGGTGTTCAGTCATGAATAAGGGTTTTAATTTTTTAATTCATTTATTCATTAAAAAAAGTGAAGAAAAAAAGAATTATAGGGTAAAATAAAAGTTATACAAGTGTAGTTCTAAACATGGTAAAATAAAATAAAAATAATAATAATAATTAATTAATTATTTTAAGTAAATAAAAATTAAACAAAATTTAATTGATAAATAAAATAAATAAATGAATACAATTTAATAATAAATAAATAAAATTAAATAATAAATAAATAAATAAAAATAAATAAAATGTAATAAATAAATAAAATGTAACAAATAAATAAATAAAAAATAAAATTAATAAATAAATGAAATGTAATAAATAAATAAATAAATAAATAAATATTTTATAAAAATATAAGTAAATAACTAAATGAAATAAAAAAAAAAAAATGCTTATTTTAAATATATCCCAAATGGCCAACAAGAAATGAAGCATCCATTAAAGCATGAAAGACTATAGTCAATATTAATATTTAATGCACAAATCTATCATGATTCAAAAGAGAAATCAGTGATTTCAGCAGGACAAGAAAAGTTGCTTCAGAGACCGATTAAAAAGATTATGATTTAGCATTTGCTAGAACTCATGCATTAAAAAGCAAATAATATGGATTTTGATTGATGCCGGCTACAAATGCCTTCTGAAAGTATTGAACACAACTAAAAACAGATGCTTTGTTTGGATGTGCTTTTGATTTTGCTCCGTTAACAGCCCATTAGGCATGTCCCTGCAGCAAACCATCCATTGAGCGCATAATTGATGTCAACGGCGCTTTCGTAAACATGGACAGCAGCCAGATGCGATTGCAGCTCTGTATAAGTATAAGTTCTTACCCTTGAAGAGCTTTTTCTCCAAACCAGTCTCCTTTTCCTAATGCACGCAGATAGACAGGAGTCCCATTGGGTGCATCTTCTCGAGTCACATTCACCTGCAATTACAGATAATTGATCGTTAAATGCTCGAGGGCTCTGATTTGTTCCTAAAATATCAATTATATAAACCAATCACATTTGTTGCAAGTAGGCATTTATCACGCTAATGATACTTAATGAAAGAGCAATAGCAAGGAGTGTGTATTTGGATGAAAGGTGGATTGAGATAACTATTTTAAAAGGAGGATTCTGAATAATAAAAAAAGTCCTTTCAATATTTCACAGTGGCTACATCTATCAAGCTTCAAAAAGACAATAAAACACCAGAAGAACATCATTAAAAGTGTCTTTGTTATTTATATAGCGAATAGCTCTCTGTGACTGAAATTTATGTACAATAGTTATTATTCACTAATGCTCTCAAATACAAAGTCAATGATGAGACATCATATTTTGGTGTCAATATCAAATTAAATGAGCAAAATGTATTGAACATACATAGATTATGAAATGTATATAAAGTATTTAATGAAATTAAAAATAAGCAAAATGCATTGAACATACATAGATTATTAAATGTATGTAAAGTATTTAATGACTTAAATTAGTTAAAACTTAGTTGCTACTTTTGAAACTCCCATCTTTGTTCTGTAGCATTTGAGCCTTTTTTAATGTTGAGGGGTCTGCCTTATGTTTTAATTGTTACGTATGTGATGTAGGTTTTACTTTGTTTAGTATTGATTGTGTTCAGCACTTTGGGAAATGTTGTGTTGTAAAAAAAACGTGTTATATAAATGAACTAACTAACTACTTTACAAATTTGTTAGCTTTAACTTAGTTAAAAAGTAAAAAATATGTTAAGTCATGCTTCGTCATTATACATATACACAGAACACATACATACTGAAACCACAATTAGTGATCATAGGCTGCAAAAGCTGATTATATCTTTATTAATTCAATTCAATTCAATTCAATTCAATTCAGCTTTATTTGTATAGCGCTTTTACAATGTAGATTGTGTCAAAGCAGCTTCACATAAATGGTCATAGTAACTGGAACAGTGTGGTTCAGGTTTTAGTGTTTAAGTTCAGTTCAGTTCAGTTTAGCTCTGTTCAGTGTGATTTAATTATATTATATAACTCAATTAATTCTATAAGTTATTATATAAGTAAAACATGTTGACAAAATGTTAAACTCATTAGTTTGAAGAAATGTGGCATTTAATAAATGTGCTAGGGCTGAATCTCTCTTGACAGTAAAAATGGCAACAACTTTTATTTCTTCTCACATAAATCATGCTTGCAGAGGAAGATTATTAGTTCACGTTTACTCATGCAATTGCAATTACTGTCAGCTTATACAAAATCCAAGTCAATTTCAAATTGGAGGTGAAAATTGCTCAGTGAATTTACCTCAGTTTTTTTACACATTTATTGAATAAGTTCTAAAGGTTTGGACTAAACACAAAAAAATGTACAATATGACAAAAAGTGAAGACAACAAATATTTTTATGTTTCTCTAACTTAGTACGATACGTAAACGAGGTTTCACCAAATTGTTTAAGTTATACAAAGTTTAACTTAAAGTTGAGATGACTAGAAAAGTTAGTTTGGAATTGGAATTCTGTCCATTTTTGAGCTTGAAAGGTTTGGTCACTATGAACTATTGGGTAATAAACAAATTTCCATGCTTCATTTTAGAGAATCTCTTGCCAACAAGCCACTTTGCAACTACATGTTATTTAGAGTATTAGTAAACCGTCTGCCTAATTTCTATTTAAACTTTATTTTGATAGCCAGATAGACATTCTATTGTCTAGAAGTAACTATTCAATTGATAATATATAACTGACTTCTTCTACTAACCATAAACCCTAAAGTTCAACCTAAAGGCCCTAATATACTTCAAACAAGTTAAAGAATGAACTGAAATGATTTTTTATTTTCTTTTTTTAATCCATCCATATTAAAGTTTAAGTGCTTTTTGGCAGTTTGAAACAGCACACCAAAGGGAACATTTTGGGGGAGCTTGTTTTGGCTCCTAAACACCTTTGAGCTATTATTGGTCTGTGGCAATTAAGCAATCGGTCTGTTCTGGAACTCTTTCTTACCAAAACGTTCTTATCATCAACCGCAGTCGTCGTTGTGTTTGTTTCGGGGTGTACGTGAGCTACATGACATGTTTACAACTTTCTTTGAAGTGTATTGGGGCTTTAAAATAGGTAAAGTCTAGATGGCATACACTGTGGATACACACATCAATATATCATCGAGTTGAGATAGATGTTAGTAAAATACAATTTGATGGGTAATTTAATAAATAATATCAATAATACTCTGTATAATTACTGTTTTTTTTCACAATACTGTGATGGTTGGATTTAGGGTTGGGGTAGATGTTAATAAAATACAATAAATGGATAATTTAATAAATAATATAAATAATTCTTGCTGAATTCTGGCCCCAGCTGTACAACTTCTAGCAAAAAAAAAAGTCTGCATGAACTGGAAGTTGTTGAGACTTTAATTTCAGCATGTTGATGCACCTTTAACTGAAACCGACTACTGAGTAGGGGGTGGGGCTTTCTTTTGAGCATCATTCTCTTATAGCAAACTAACGGTAATAGGGGCGTGGTTAATGCTATTGATATACTGTTGCTATGGAAACCCTCAAATTGGCAAAAACAGAAGCAAATGGCCAGACTTTGAAGATTATCAAAACAAACTTTTTTTCAGTGGATTACCTTGCACAGAGTATTGATTCACTTTAGGAATAACATGAGCCAACAAAATAAATATTTCAAATGTAGATTTCACACAGACTTTAACAGTTTATTATGATTTTACTTATAACTGCTAGTTGACATTAAGTTGTAAAGTTATCAACAGTCAAAATTACTATGGTAGTTAGAAAAAAAAGACATCTTATAGACTTTTGACAGGGTTTTAATTGCGCAGTGGATTATTCCTTTAAAAGCGTCTTGCTTGTGTAACCTCTGTGTCATTCAGTGTCTGTGGCTGAAAAGATCTTACCTTTCCTTTGCTAATGATAAAGAACGTGTCCCCTCTGGCACCTTGTCTAATAATGTACTCTCCATCACTGTAGTGAGTCTAAGAAACGAGATAAAGAGAGAGAATTACTAAAGTGTCATTTCTTTTTTCTTTTCTCCTTCAGGTGCAGTTTTCACAGTGTTGCTCCATCACAATCATCCTCAAGCCATCATGAAGCCGGAGCCTCAATCACGCAACAACCTGCTTCAGGGCTGCAACACCACAACAAGAAGAGCAGTAATCCACGCTAACAGCAAACCACTGCAAATGTAAGTCTCCTGAACTCTCAGAAACTCCCAATGAAAGATCAGTGTTTAGAGTATAGTCATTTTAAGTCCAGAAGCATACAACTGCACAAGTGCGTGAATGCAGACGCATGGTTTCACACTCTATTAATGGTGTTTTTTAGGTGAACCATCTGTATTATTATTTCTGTGAAAGTGGTTTAAGATTCTGACAGTTTGATAACCTTGGATAAAAATAGCACGGTTTCACTGTATTATGATTTCTGCGCAACACACACTCACCGGCCACTTTATTAGGTACTCCTTACTAGTACCGCTTTGCACTCCTTTAGCCTTCAGAACTGCCTTAATCCTTTGTGGCATAGACTCAACAAGGTACTGGAAGTATGCCTCAGAGATTTTGGTTTATAATGACATAATATACGATGATGATAGCATCACGCAGTTGCTGCAGATTTGTTGGCTGTACATCCATGATGTGAATCTCCCGTTCCACCACTTCCCAAAGGTGCTCTATTGGATTGAGAACTGGTGACTGTGTAGGCCATTTGAGTACAAAGTCATGTTCAAGAAACCAGCCTAAGATGATTTGTGCTTTACGACATGGCACGTTATCAGAACATTACAAAACTGCCGCTCACTTGATATTTTACTTTTTTCTGACTTTTCTCTATGAACACTAGAGATGGTTGTGCATGAAAATTAGTTCTTAACAGTTACACCAGTGGCGTAGCAGACGGGCCCGCAAGGCACGCACCGCGGGGGGGCCCGGCGTGATTAGGGGGCCCCGCGTCGTCGCGATTTTCAATAATTGATAATCCGGCAACCGCAATAATCAAACTCTTGGGAAAAACTGTGGTCGGAACCAAAGTTCACAGGTCTGTGTTCTCTGAACACCTCTCAAGCGGTGGACTACTTCATTCTGATTGCTTGCCGCCAATGTTGCCAACTTAGCGACTTTGTCATTAGATTTAGCGATTTTTCAGACCCCCCTAGTGACAAATCTAGCGACTTTTTTGTGTGTTATTGGAGATTTTTTTTTGTAGACTGTCATTTGTCCATACTGTACCGTCCCTACTCTTCTCAACAAGCTGCGTGTGATGCCGCCGACCCCTCCCCCGCCTCACAGCACTGACAGGCGGCCCAGTCAGTCCTCAACAGCAGCCTCTCCCACCTGCAGCCCGAGAGCAGATCACCCCTCTGCGTACCGACGACAAATGATTTAGCACAGGCAGTGTGAAGGTATTTCCCTTGTATAGTCAAACCGATCTACTTCTCCTTTATTTTAACAATTTAATTGGACCGTTTATTCTTTTTTTGTTTACAATCACAGATATTTTAGTGACAGTTTCTGAACTTGTCTGAGTTTATTACATATGAGAGATTACTGCACATTCACTACACATCTATAATGACATACTGTATTCAAACAGCAATACATTTAGTTAAATAAACATGCTTTTATAAAGTGTAGTGCAATTATAAATACCCCTTTATTAACCATAGGCTGTTAAACAAACAGAAACGGTAGAACGTGATGACGTCAGTGATATGCAAATTGACGTATGACGGATCCATCCCCCCCCCAAACTTCATCAGGGGGCCCCGTCAGCGATCCCTGCTGGGGGGCCTCCGCATTTTGCGCTACGCCACTGAGTTACACTTTAGAATAATCCAGCAGATTCTTCATTTTTTTTTTATCATCTTTTGCATATTTAAACTCTTTCCAACTGTGACATTGATTTTGTGATCACCTTTTCACACTTGAGAGACTCAAACTCAACTATTAAAAAAGATTCAAACACTCTTGATGCTCAAGAAGGAAACACAATGTATTCATTACTTTTGTATTCTTAATTGCATTCAAAGTTTAAATTCCTATAGGAATTAAATGAACTGGCTTGTTTATCAAGATCTGCCTGCACTTCAGCTATGAAAGATACTTGTGTGTTAATAATGAGAGGTTTGCTGTTACTTTTCTAAGTACTTGAACACCAGTTTAGAGCGGAGAATATCGTAGAGGCTTGTTGATGTTGTCTATTGACTTGTACCAACAAATAACCACCAAAAAAAAAAAAAAAAAAAAAACATGTTGAAACCCCTCAGAACAACATAGCAACTGCATAGCAGTGTCCTGGCAACCACACAGAATGCCTGTTGTATTTTTTTGACAAGCACTACTTACATTTTCTTCATAAAATGTGAAAATCTTTTTTGCTTTTTTGTTTTATGCAATTCATAACACAAGGTCTTTTTTAACGGTCAGTTTTCTGCCAGGTCAAGTGCTTTCAGTACAGGCCAACAGTTTGAAAATAATTTTGTGCTTACAAAAATCTATAATTATTGTAATTACCTACAAAAAATGACTGTTTGGAAACTACTGGAAGTCTAAAATAAAATAGCTAGTTTTGAATAAATTAAATCAGTATATTCAATAACTATACTCAACAAATGCATAATTCACGTAGTCCTACAAATTAATTAATAACAAATGTTTGTTTTCAAAGATTGTGCTTATTTATAGGTACACACATTCATATACCGTAGATATGGAAGTCACTTGAAAAATCACTGATTTATTTTTTTTTCAAAGATTTTGGGGGAAAAGTACATTTAGAAAAACAGAATTCTAAGAATGATTATATTTTATTTGTTGTGACGTAAAACCACGGTTATTTTATCAAATATTCACATACGTCAACCCTCCCATTTGTCCCGATTGTCCCGTATTTTACAGTTCTATCCAGCTATCATTACCGGATTTCTCCTATATTTTCAATCTTTCTCTGAAGGGTGGTAAATAAACATTAAAGAGACGAGCCTATACCCAACCCATACGACCAAACCGACAGGGGACGCCTCTTGCTCTTAAATGTAAATCTGTTCTGTGCTTTTGTTTTATTTAGGCATGAAAATACTTTGAAATAAATATAAAAACAGAGGGATTCCCTTCCTTTCCCTTACAGGTGCTGTTGCCCCTGCTATGCAATCCTCAAAACAGTCATGTAGCAGACTGTCAGCTGACACATTCCATAGCGATAAAAAGACGATGTTTCCCAAATGGATTTTGTACATGCAAGTTAAACAGGAGCGAAGGTGGACACTCTTGGTATAGGGTGCATGTTTGAACAGACATATACACGTAATAATAATAACAACATCTAAAGATACTGGTTTTGTTGGTTTTCTTTCAAACACAACTAATTTAGGGCTCTATTTTGACGATCCATGCGCTAAGTCGAAAAAGCATTAAGGGTGTGTCTGAATCCACTTTTGCTATTTTAAGGACATAAAAATCTACTTTGCGCCGTGGCGCATGGTCTAACAGGGTTGAGCTTATTCTCTTAATGAGTTATAGGTGTGTTTTAAGAATAAAACAATCAGAATCTCATCTCCCATTCCCTTTAAGAGTCAGTTGCGTATACGCTATAGCGCATTTGCTATTTACAGAGAGATGAGCCTCCTCATTCTTTACTTTCACTTTCACTCTTGTGGATGAGGAAACGTGTTGTACGCACAGACATCCATTAGCCTATACATAATTAATTTCATTTGTTAAGTGCAAGGATTTGTTTTCAAAACTATTTCTAAATTAAGTTCTAATTTACAGCAAACGAATAAATGAACAATAATAACGAAGTGTGCTCAAAAAACTGAGTTATATCCAAATACACATACTGTGCCCCATATGTTCCAAAACCTGACAGATGGGCAAATCTAAGCTTGTTTTTAATAAAACAAATATAAATATACATATAATAAATAATACTAAGACTAATAATAACTATATACAAAAGCAAGTTGTCATGAATAAACTAAAAAGCCCCCCGAGATGAAGAAGGCATGGAGGCGTTGGTTTTTATATTTATGTATGCTAGAAAATAATATTCTTTGTAATATTTTAATGCTTTATTTAATTTTCTTTTGTAAAGTTATTTGCTTATTGCTGTACATCCTGTGTGTATAAAGCAAAGTTTAGGCGAGGCACACATCTAACGCGCACTACCCTGGACTTTACGCAAGCTTTGATCTGGTCTATTGTGCGTTCTATCAATAGTTCCTCAAAATAGCAACACGCCAGCAATGCGCCTTAACACGCCTCCTTTTTTAGACCAGAACTCCTATGGGTGCACATATGAGCGCAAATGCATTTGCTATTTAAACAGTGTTGTGCAAAACGTCAAAACGACTCTTGCGCCAAGCTAAAACTAGCAAACAACAGTTGCGCTGCGCCTTGCGCCGGGTGTATGATAGGGCCCTTAGTCCTAATTGAGCATGAAAAGTTAGGAAAGCAATCGAATGCTTTCATTATAATGTTAGAAGTGTACATTTTCAAAGTGACACCTCTGTTATTTAATGCAATCAAACCAAAAATCTAAATGAGAGATTCATTAATTGCTTTTTTAATCAGAATGTTTAAATTATACAGTGAAGAAAAGGTTAATGAGATTTGATACCTTGATTCTATTTCTATAAAATAGCTATTATTTCTAATAGGCTAAACTGTTTACTAATTTATTTGCAGCTTTTTCTAAAGTATACTATTTATTCTATCCTTTGGAAATAATGATAAAACAAATTACTGACTTTAACTGTTTATTTACAAAGAAAGAGTTCCAGATGAACATATGTAGTAATTTGGGAATTATGCCCCTATTATCCCTCATTTTCACATCCCAGTGTTGACAGTTATGTATTCATCTTTTAACACAGTGATTTTATGTTGTCTAAAAATATAGAGATTACATTTATCAAATATATTTCAAATACATTAAGAGATTTAATAAAAACATGTATTAATTATTATTAAGAGCA